ACTTTCATTGATAATTGCGTCTACAAAGAAATATTTCAATAAAATCTACTCTGTGATGTAGTGCTGCGATGATAGCTCATTTTGAAGTTAAAATTTCAATAAAATCCTATTTCTTATGGATGGTGAACATTATTGAATGTGAAGTATGAGTACATTGTTGCAGAACTGCCAGACAATTCCAGAAAAGACTGCAGACCTAATAGCCTTCCGCAGGAACTAACAATTATACCTGCTCGAAGGGCGGGTATTTCTGCTAGTATTTGATAATTAATACTTGGTTGTTTACTGTAACAATGTTTGATATTGGTGCTTCCAACCCGAATGGCAACATAACTATGGACCACATGAACAAACCGGTTACTACAGTCTTCAAGGTTCAGGCATAGCCGACCTTCTCCCCAGTGGCACAGCGGACTTACAACTCTAGAAACCGGGTTTCGACACCCGTGGTGGGAAGAGCACAGATAGCCCATTGTGTGGCTTTGTGCTTAATAACAAACAACAACATAGCCGACCTTAATTTATAAATGCCAACCAGAGGAAAGGCAATCAACCAGCAACACCAGTACATACACTACTACTCTTAATCGACAACTAACTCTTACTTTTTAACGCGCCAATAGCTGAAAACGAGAAGCTTGGTTAGACGCATTTTGAGGACTCGAACGTTGGACTTCCTAATACGCAGCCCAGCACATTAAACACTGCCCGGCCCAACCTTTAAAGAACGTAAGATAATGTTGTAAAAAGATTGAGAGGAATAGTCATTCTCTTTGTAAATTGTGTTTAAAGCATTTTATTGTAATTTACGACCAGTGGCTCACTAGTAAGTCTGTTGGCTTAAAACACTAAAAACTAGGTTTCAATACCCGTGGTGGGCACAGCACAGATAGCCGATTGTGTAGTTTTATGCTTAACAGCAAACACAAATTGTCGTATACATTTATCATTACTTTTTTAACAAACCATAAAAAAGTTAGGTATTGTCAATTAAAGACCAATAAAAAACCTCACTTTTTCAAACTTTTCTGCATCGCTTCATCAATAAAAACTTCTTTTGAAGGGCAGTTACCCTGTAAAAGACGGGGTTCATTAGGTTTTTCTTTCGAAATTTCTACCGAAGAAAACTTGCTGGGTCTCTTGTTCCGAGGAGCGACTGTCCTAGTATCCAGTCTCGATTTAACATGAGAAACATTTGATTTCCGATCTTTCGGTGTAACATATTTTCGACTATTGACTGTTTTGTATTCACCAATAGTTGGTGATACGCCATCTTCATCTTCAGAAGATACAACCTTATCGCTTACTTTTACTAAACTAGAAGGTGAAATTTCCATAAAAGGTAATTACAACCAAGATTCATCAGGAAATAAATTGACCACAATAATGCACAGTAAAGAGAAGAAACCGACGTCGGTAAATCAGAATGGTTTCCAGCACAGAGAAGAGAAAACTGATAAAGAAATACTATTAAAAGATGAGCTTGAAACTGTAGATGGAAACGAGAATCACAATGTAAAACAAACAGGAAACCCTTTGAAAACAAACGGAGGGAATAGTTTACCACTGGTAGAGAACTCATTGAGACAAACACAGCTCTTAACAACAGAGCCTCGTGGTAAAAAGTGTAAGGACTCTCGACAACTAACGACCCTCTATAATCACAAAAGACATCTTTCTGAACACACAGATGTTTCATCTGTCGAGGAAGATGAAATAGAAGAAAACGGGCATAAACGTCTTGAAGTTGTAGGTTTTATAAACGATGATAAGCCATTTTCTTTGTTTTCCTGAATTTTAGATTCTTCAGATTCTTGTATAACTTTCAGAGATGGTCTTGTTAAGTCAGCTGTTGGAATGTTTGATAGAATCTCATTCGATTTTTCTTCAAGAGACCTCGTCTGAGATTTGTACTTTTCATCTAGTGTTTGATCTTTCCTATTTTCTTTCAACTCACCTGTACCGTTTGTGCTAATATTACCATCATTTTTGTTTACTTCAGCTCCTCCTTTTTCCTGGTGATTATGTACGTCAAATTCATTGTCATTATTTTCATCTTGCACACTGTTTCCTTCATTAACGTTGCTTTTAATTTGTTTTGTTTGCCTGTTGTTTTTAACGTTATTTTTTTTAGGAGCGCCATTTTCTTTTCCTTTCTTGTTGTATTCAAAAATTTCATTTTCATTAGATGAAGTAGTAACTTGATTTTTTAATTTTTCGTTTACTTTCATACTTTCTTCGTACTCTTCATAATTTTCTACCTCCACGTTACTTGTTTTATCGCGTTCCCCTTCATCATACTTATATTTCTCTGATGAATCTTCCGTTTCACCAGTTTCTTTGCGAATGTATTCCAACTCGCTTTCATTCGCATCTTCCTCACTATTTGGGGTATCACGCTCCTTTCTCATTTTCTGTTTTTCATTTCGCCATTTAATTTTATTGTCGCTGTAATCTTCATCTTGTTCTCTGCTGTCTTCCTCGATGTATCTAATCATTCGCTTGTGACTTTTATTTATTCTTGACTGTTTTGATTTTCTAAGACTATTATTTTCATTATCTTCATGCACCTCAGAGCCATCAGAATCATCTACTTTTTTATATGACACCTTTCTTCTTGTAGTTTGATGCCTTATTCTTCTTCTGTGGGAATCATCTATACTGTCTTCATCTGACGTTTCATCATCTTCAGACTCATACCTTTGTTTCCCCTTCTTTTTCTTGTTATTATCATCGGAAGCAGATACATACACGTTGGTGATAATAGCTTGTCTCACTCGTTTCTTCTCTCCTCCATTTCTGCTTGTCGTACTGTCAGAAGAAGTCTTCTCCACACTCTCCTTTAAATAATATTGTCGTTCGACTTCTTTGTTATCGGCAATGTTCAAATCTCTTTGGATATCTGGAGAAGACATATGAACCTGAACATCTACATCTCTTCTGTCTCCTTTGCTCTGGTCTGTTTGCACTGACTCTGAACGCGTTCTTCTCTCATCAAGTGTCGATTCCAAATTGAAGTGATTGATCTTGTTGACCAAAGAAGAAGCCAAGCTTTCTTCTGATGGAGTGACTCCCTGTCCTGGAGCCTTTTCTAACTGCCCAGTTATCGACCTGACAAATATATCAATAGATTCAAAAGTTAAAAAGCTTTAATAATATATATATATGCTTCTTAGCTTAGCCAAGTACCGAGACAAAAAGGACATGTTTATAATTTCTTTTTTTTTCCGTTTTAGTTGACTTTTTTCGATAGAAATTATATAATCTGAGATAATGTCACTGTTAACAATACTTTCAATAATTAGAGTTCTATTGAATATTTCGTTGTGAATAATGTTAAGTGGAGTTTTACGCCATATCAGTCTTCACTTTATTCAATGATTTATTGTTTGAGAGTCAATAACCAACGAAACCAAACACATTAAAGTGAGAATTATTTAGCGCCCTCTATGAGGGTTCTATTGATTTACATTGATTAATGGGAATAAGCTGCAAGAGCAATACTAGGATTTCGCCACAGAACGAGAATGTTTTTTCTTTCAAGACAGTATTAAAAAATAACCTATTAAATAGTATGGCTTCATATTGATCTAAATGTGTAATTATGAATGCACGCAAAATTATATGAAAATATAAACGAATAAGTTTTTTATCCCTGTAATAATACTAGATACTTTGTAAGTATAAACATTCAGACACCATTATTGTAATTGACAACCTGATAATTTCGAGCTGGCTGCCATCTATGAGATTTTATGTAAACTAAGCCTCAATGCTTTTTCTATGGGCATTTTTTAGTTCATCTCTTACAAAACAATGTATTACTTAATAAGATTTATCATTTTAAGAGTAAATCATAAACGTTATTGAAGTAGATAACCTTTTAGATTTGAGTCTACTTACGACTGGTTATATTTTGTGATATCTTAAAATTACGACAAAATTGAATGTTTACATAAAAAAAAAACATGTAAAATATATTACATTGTAAAACCAAAATCAAAAAAGATTAAACACTTTAATCACATAATTTATATTCAGTATTTAAATTTCATGTTTAGAAAGTAACTTTTTAAAATTCATTTAATAAAATAATTTTTACATAAGTGGCCTAATTTTAACATGTAATTAAATCTTTAATGTCTTTACTTTTCCAAGTTATTTTTAGAACATTTTATTTACCAATCTCGAAAAACACACATGTAATATCCTTTCAATACCCGTATAAAGGTGAAGGAAAACCTTAAGTAGATATAAAACGTTTCGTTCTTGGTGTAGCTTTAATACTTTACATAATACCTGTAAAAAATTTGATTCACTTACAAGTTATTGTTTACCACACGAAGATTCCGCGATTCTTCTTCATTTTCCCCCCAGTGGCACAACGGCATGTCTGCGGACTAACAACGCTAGAAACCGGGTTTCGATACCCGTGGTTGGCAGAGCACAGATAACCCATTGTGTAGCTTTGTGTTTAATTACAAACAAACAAAATCTCTTCTTCATGCATTTTTGAAAAGTATCTCACGCAAAAGTAAAAAAAAAACAATAATAAAAAACATAATGATTAATAAAAAAAAAGTTATTTCACGAGGGACAAGTCTTTCTATTTTCAGCTATCGTGCGAACCTATTAGTGGACTGGGGAATGTGATTGTCCTGCTATTTTGGCATCACATTTGCTAAGGCAGCACTCTTACTAACTAAATTTCTAGTTCTCTAGTAACTTGTGTATA